TGATGAGAATCGGAATGATAGTGATAATGGTATTAATTGATGATAATAATGATAATAACAATAATAACAACAGTAAAAATGATGATGGCAATAATGATGATGATGATAATAATAATAATAATATTAGCAATCGCAACTCTTGAGAATGAATAATCCTAATTCAATTCCTTCAGATATTTACCGGCTGACTCCGATTCGCTTCCGTCCCTTGGCTCTTCGTCAGCGCTCCTCCCTGGCTCTTCGTCAGCGCACCGAAGACTCAGCATTGGCGTGGGCAGATGGCGGAGACTTGAGGCCGAGAAGGAGACGTCGGAGAGGTAATTCACATTGCATACATCTGTTGCGAGATCTTGGTATCCTGCGGAGTCTGCCTTCCACGAAACTCTGATGAGGTGCTGGGATATCTATGAAAAAATGGGTTTAAATCTTTTGTGGCACCATTCAGTTCTGATCGCTTATGCATGTATGATTTCCGATTCGCGAGCTTAAGTATCCAAGTACAGTGCTTATTTTAGCAGACGTCCACTTACATTGAACAAGATGAATTTGACGCCGCATAAGAACCAGTCTTCCGGCCAGGGAGAAGGCACCTCCAGAGCTGCTCTATTTCTGCAGCTTACTGCCAAATGGTCGCTGTAAGTAATCGTCGTGCCTCGTTTTCCTTCCGTGCGAGACATGTTGAAGCTGGCCAGGACTTGCTTTTCTCGCTCCAGTTCGAAGTGGACGCCCCAGACGCCCTGCCGCGGAAGGACGCCCACCAGCGCCACCAGATGGTCAGCTTCTTCAGAGATGGGCAGGAGTGTCTTGCAAGTCACGTTAACCTCCTGGCAAACTGGCAGGCGGAAACCAAGAATTGCATCTTAAAATTCATCCGCAGTCTCATCAACATTTCTATAAACCATTTCCCTTGAATATATGATAATAAAAAAAATGGCAATGAAGAAAAAATAAATGGAAATGCATTGCTGAATTAGGAAGAACAGATACTCGGCCAGGGACTTACCTTGAGCCGAGTCCACAAGAAGAACAACGAGACAAAGGACACCCCATCGCAACAGCAACTCTGAAATACAGGTTCAGTCACTTCGGGAATCCACTGCATTAACCCCAGCAACAAAAGTGAGTGCCTTCACACGCATAGACCAGAGCCTCGTACGGTCGCCCAGTTACCACAGTTTTCAGCATGACTGATCAGTGGCATGCGCCGTAGAAAGCTTGAGGCCATACCATCTACGGTGAACAGTTCATACTCGATGCGTTTGAAATGTTTCAGTCAGTTGATAATGAGCAAGACCGATGGCCACGTACTGGATATGCGAATAATATTTAATTATATGAAATTCAAGTCTTGTATCATTCATGTGATCGGAAAAATCTAATATTGGTATTAATGATTATGATGATAATATCATCTATAATAATAATGATACTAGTAACAATGTTGTTATTATTGATGATAAGGGTGGTGCTGATGCTGAGAAATGTTGTAAAATAGTCTCCCACAAAACCTATTTCCTACAAGGACTAGCAACCTCCATCATTTGAACTATATCATATACCAATGTATTTCTTTTATATCATCTGGAGCCAAAAAGAAACACCATTATGTGAATGAAATCTAAAGTCGTAAGGCATCTCCTCGTTTCTTTATTTCGAAACTGTAAAAGTGTATAGATAATGAAGCATAGATCGTATGGGTGTATTCCAAAGACGAGTGGAATCAGTGACCCCAACCTCATCAGAGTGATCTTTTGAAACCATTATACTGATAGATCGGCACCAAAATCTATCCAGCTGGTTTCTGTCACATGGCCAACCAGAACACAAATTCTCAACAATCTGTCTAAAACGAATTGGTATCGACCTGACGGCAATTTCTAAGTAAACCAATAACTACGACACGTAGACAGTAACAGAAAAAAATCTAATACAAAACGAAAAGGCAACAGAATATACAAAAAAGGCCTAAACAGCTTACCAAAGAAAGCGAGCGACTCGGAGGAAGACATGCTGGACCCAAGAAAACGAGCGACGTCCGTGGAGACACTGAGCGCAGCGGAAGAGGCAGGAGACGCCAGGGCGGCCTCTCGGGGGGGGGGGGGCATCCCAGAGTACGTTGCGGTGCTCTTCCTATCTCGCTTCCTTTTGTACTCTCATATGTGCGTGTACTGTTTACACAAACACAGACACCCATACATGTGCACACACACACACACACACACACATACCCACACACCACACACACACACACACACACACACACACACACACACACACACACACACACATATATATATATATATATATATATATATATATATATATATATATATATATATATATATATATATACATTTACAGGGGGAGTGGGAGTGAGTGAGAGGGAAGTAAGAGGGGAGTGGCAGGGATGCAGCACAAAGGAGTCGTTCTAAATCGAATATCTATGTTATATAAGTACTTACACCGTATTTTATCATTCGGATATCCTATGGAGCCAAAT